TGATGGCAGAGGGAAAGAAAGAGTTTTTCAGTCTACTGGTCCTGCATTTCACACTTCTGAACCTCCGGCCAGAGGGTAGGGAGGTGAACAGTCCGTGCTGGGGGTGGGTGGGATCTTTGAGGATGGAGGTAGCTTTCCTATGCACCCTGCGGTGGTAAATGCTCTGCAGAGAGGGCAGTGGAGTCATAGTGATCTTCTCCGCAGTCCTTACCACTCTCTGCAGGTGCTTGCGGTCCATACAGTAGTTCTGCCATATCCAGACAGACAGTGATGCAGCTGGTCAAGATGCTCTCAATTCTCATTAAAAAATGTTTTTTTAAATTGCGAAACCCTGACGTGCCTGTGTTCTGATTTCAAGGGGTTTGTAGTGTTCATGTTTGGCTTCCATGCTGTATTCACATAGCTCGACCACAACAAAGAGTCTCATACAGTTTTGACCAAAAGCGTGGAATCTGACCAGCTTTGAGTCATTACATTTGATTCTCTTGAAGAATGTTTGTTTATGCTCCAAGGATACATAAACGTGTTAGGCAATCTGCTTGAACACGTGCAAAAATAAAAAGCACCACAGAAAAGAAAATAGAGATGTGAAAGGAATGAGTACCCTGGATTTTCAGAGGGCGGCGATAGGGACAGGGTAGGTGTGTGTGAGCATGTGTGTGGGGTCAGGGAATCAGATAATGAGAAATCTAATCATTCCTCTGGGAATATGGCAGGTAGCAACTGACCTCCTGCACAAAGCAAATACAAACGGACAAGTGTTTTTTCATCAGGTCATTTTACATGACTGTTTTCTGCTGGCTCTACCTTGTTTTAATTTTTACACCAAGACTATTTATTAGAGAAAAAGCATTTATGTAAAACTCTGCGCTACTCATTGGTGGACTTTACCCTTAAAACGGCTGTTTTCTAAGGCTGAGTAATATCAACATTTTCTGGCGGGGACGGACTAGGGTGTGGACACCTGAACTGAGTCTGACAGGACCCACTAGTATCTGGACAGAAATTCAGAAATTATGTTTGGATTTGGGTCAGTTTCACACAAGTAGGTCAAACTTTAGGCTACACTTGCTGGATCACTCAGATGTCTGCTTCATTTAACGATAAGGGGAAAAGTAGGTAATGTGGGCCAGCACCACTCTCTCAAAACACTTCATAATGATTGGGGTGAGTGCCACTGGCCTGTAGTCGTTCAGGCAGGTGACCGGGCTCTTCTTGGGAAGGGGGATGATGGTTGTGGTCTCAAAGCAGGTGGGAACGATGCTCAGGCTGAGGGAGAGGTTGAAGATGGTGGTTAAAACATCAGCCAGCTCGCTGGCACATGCCCTGAGAGCCCTCCCAGGGATGTTGTCCGGTCCTGCCACTTTGCGGGGGTTGATCTTCCTCAGGACTGTGTGTACCTGTGCGTATTATCTTAAATAATCCACAGCCAGTAATTGCGTGATTGACATTACAACCAAATAGGTGGTGGTATAGCAGTTGAACACTGGTTACCACCCAGTGAGGACAAAGGAAGAAGACCACCAAGCAAGTAACTAGCTTGGTAGGTACTACCCTACAAGACAGACAGTATACACAGTAAAGTTAAAGATGAATTTGACTGATTGCATTATTTTGTTTTTTCAGATTTTCTGTAGATATTGTGATATTGTTACCATGAATTTTTTTTCGCCATGATAATTGCCTAGTGAAAATCTGATATTGTGACAGCCCTATCTTCCACATATCAAAACTAAGAGTGTCAAGACTCTTTAATGCAACTATAATACAGTGAATAAATACCACCAAGGATTAGAAAAATAAAGTGATTTACCTGATATTTAGGTGGAGGATGATCTAAAATATTTTCTGCCTTTTTACATTTTTAATTACTTCCTACACTGCTTGGTTTGTAAACTGGGAAAAATAAAGTTAGCCTTTATATTTTGCCATGTTTCACACATACCTACACATATACACTTTTCCATTAAATTGAATGGGAAAGTGTGTCCAAACCTTTGACTGGTACTGTGCACAGAGGAACACAGACATTCGTCTGTCACCTGGACACTTGTCCAGCAGTCATCTGTACCTTCCTGAGTTAAAAATACTCCAACACTACATTTACTAGATATGATCCCCCATCTTGTGTGATGTGACAGATTTTTATGAAAGTAAACAGTTCATTGTCAGGTCTGAGTGTGCCAAACTCCCCTCAGATCCAAACAAAACAAAAAACAACATTATAGACATTCTTTTTTTTTGTTGTTGTAATTGTGGAAATTTCTGTTTTCACCTTTTATGTGGTTATGACATATTGTAACACGAAATATTTTTCATGTTTTGTCAACATTTACATTGTTAAAAGTCAGATTATTTGTACTTGTATTTCATTCACTCATGTTTGCTCTGCATCCCTCTGCTTGCACACTGTATGTTAGGTATGTTCAGGCAGGGCTGCTCAGTTTTCCGTGTCATCACTCCAAACACTGATGAGGAGGCGGCTATGATGGAGGATGTGGGGATGCAGGATGTTCACTTCAATGAGGTTTTTATTGTGATTTTTTTCTACATGCTATACACTAGGACTGCCCCCTGAAAGTCAACTATTTGAATCATTAGTTGAGAAGCCCGTCAGACAACTGAGACTCTGTTTTTATTTTATTTAAATTTTTGTCAGCCAGTACAGAGGAATCATAAATATACACCAATCAGCCATAACATTATGACCACCTGCCTAATACTGTTTACATAGGAGTCGGGAGTTGGCACTCGTGTCACTCTGCAACTCACTGTGCATCTTCTGTGAATCCATTTCCTTCCACATTTCTACTGTCAGGAAGAGCACAGATGTGTCTAGAATTCAGTGAAAAACGTATGTAAAAGGAGTAAAAACTGTGGTCGTGAGGATGAGTTAGAGAGAATTGTTTAGACAAATTCAACAGCCTCACCACTAGGTGTGATATCACCACTACAGCCCCTGACTCTTTCTCTTCATAGAGACCAATGGACAGTATTTCTCATTTTCAACCATTTTAACAAAAATTCAAATAAATTTTTATATTTTGTAAAGTACAAATGGAAATTAAAAGTTTAATCTACAGTAGGTCAACCTCATCATCAGTGAGCTGTGGGCATTCATGACCCTGTCTCCAGTTCACCATTTATCCTTCCTTAGACACTGTTGGTAGCTACTAACCACTGCAGACCAAGAACACCTGCCAAGACCTACAGTGTGGGAGATGCTCTGACCCAGATGGCTGCCTCGGTTTTGTACCGAAAACAAATTCCTTGTGTGTAACATACTTGGCCAATAAAGGTGATTATTCTTATCCAGTCATCTCACCATCACAGCTTGGCCCTTGTCAAAGTCATTCAGATCCTTACACTTGCCCATTTTTCCTGCGTCCAACACCACAACTTTGAGGACTGAATGTTGACTTGCTGCCTAATATACCCCACACATTGACAGGTGCCACTGTAACAGATAATAATAATAATAATAACCTTTATTTATATAGCCCTTTACAACTCCCAGGAGCACAAAGTGCAATGTACAATGAAGCTAAAATAGCCCAAAAAAGCCATACAAAAACAGTAGAACCTAGCAGAATAAAATGCTAAAACATTCTTATACAAAACATAACAAAAAGAACATCTCTATGGGCAAATAAAAGCAAATTCCATATCAAACACCTGTTTAAAAAGGTGAGGTTTTTAAAATTGATTTAAAAACCGCTAATTCAGTTATTCACCGTAACTCTTGCAGTAGAGAATTCCAAAGTCTGGGGCCATACACAGCTAAAGAACGGTTGCCCCATTTCTTATATTGCGACTGTGGGACCACCAGGGCCAAGTGCCCTGTGGATCGCAGAGCTCTGCATGGAGCATAAATGGACAACAGGTCTGAAAGGTACGACGGAGCGAGGCGGTGGATAGCCTTAAACACAAATAGCAGCACCTTGAACTTCACTCTCCACTGTACTGGCAACTAGTGTAGTGAATGGAGAACAGGGGTAATATGGGCATATTTGGGGGTGTTTGACAGCAGCCTAGCCGCAGCATTTTGGACCAGTTGCAACTTCCGAGCCAGTGGCTGAGACAGACCAGCATACAGGACATTACAGTAGTCCAGGCGCAACGTGAAAGAAAGCGTGAATAGCTTTTTCTAAATCTGAACGCGATAGAAAAGGCTTAACCTTCACTAAGTGGAAGAAGCTGGTCCTAACTATGGTACTAATCTGCTTATCGAAGCTGAATCTGCTGTCGAATATTACTCCAAGTTTTTTAACAGAATCTTTGAGTGAAAGTAGTGAGACATCTGAGCTAGGTAGAACTACAGTTGGATCATGGCTGATGAACATAAATTCAGTTTTACTTTCATTTAAATGAAAGAAATTCTGGGCTAACCATTTCTTAATATCTCGAATGCAATTCTGTAATGGGGCTAGTGCATTCAAGTCGGATTGAATCAGAGGCATGTAAATCTAAATATCATCAGCATAAAAATAAAAATGAACATTGTAACTTGATATAATTGAAGCCAGTGTCAGCACATATAGGGAGAACAGTAATGGCGCCAGGATCGAACCTTGTGGACCGCCTGAGGTAAGAGGGGCTATGTCGGAGGAAAAGCCATCAATGATAACCGAAAAGGTTCTGTTTGTTAAAAAAGAAATGAACCAATTTAGAGCCGAACCTCTCAGACCAGCGAGATGTTCAAGTTTAGAAATTAAAATCGCATGGTCGACAGCGTCAAAAGCTGCTGATAAATTTAAAAGGACCATCATAACAGAACATTTGGCATCAAGGGCCATGGTAACATCGTTATGGACCTTTAGAAGTGCAGACTCCGTGCTATGGCGGGGCTTAAATCCTGATTGGAACTTGTCAGCCATATCCAGGCAGTCTAAATGAGACTGCAGCTGGGTAAGGACAATTTTTTCCATGATCTTAGATACAAAAGGCAAAAGAGAGAGAGGGCAAAAGTTGGAGACTAGGGAAGGGTCAAGGTTAGGTTTTTTAAGGAGTTGTCTCACTACCGCATGCTTAAGGGCAGTAGGGACCACACCCATCTTCAAGCAACAATTTATGAAATTGACCAGGAAGGGACCCACCATGTCAATAACTGTAGTAAACATTTTTTAAGCTGGGACAAAGAAATTGGAGTGAAAGAGTCTAGCATCTGCAATAACTGAGATACAGGTGGTGCATATGGTGTGGTTTAAGAATATTTTGCGTGATTGTCCTAACTTTATCAATAAAATATCTCTGAAATTCATTACAGTGCAGAACCGATCCCTCAATGGGCCCAGTGCCAGCAGGGTTAATAACTGAATCAATGGTTTTAAAAAGGACTCTTGGATGCTGGCTATTATTCAATATAATGTTCGATAAATATTGAATTTTAGCATTTTTTATAGCCTCCTGATATGAGCGGAGGCTGTCTCTTAAGCAGCCTAGGGAGACGTGCAGGCCATCCTTTTTCCATTTACATTCCGCCTGCCTGCAGAGTCTCCGCAGGGCATGGGTGGTGTCATTCATCCAAGGGTCAGGGGTGTTTCTTGCCCTCCTCCTCCTAAAGGGAGCAACAGAGTCCATAATCCAGGCGCAGGTAGAGTTCAGGGAAGAACGAAAGGCATCCGGACATACAGGAGGGTTTTGGGCTTCTGACAGATAAAACTCGGAGGCTAAAAAGGCATCCGTGAAATCCAAGATAGTTGAGGAAATAATAATCCTACGGCGCTGACAGGGAGCCGTAGGTCTGATTACATTTGTCGGTGTCTGGACTTCAAAGCGAATTGCAAAGTGATCAGAGATGGCCAAGTCTGATACATCTTTGATACATAGGGATAGGCCTCGAGAGATAACGAAGTCTAACATGGCCCCACGTTGATCAGTGGGGCATAGTACTGACTGAGTGAGATCAAAAGATCCGATCGCCTCACCAATTGGCAATGGGGGCAAGGGGAATCGACATCTGGGTCAACCCGTTGAAGGAAGCAGTAGCTATGGACCACAGTCCAGCCAGGGTTGTAGTCGCCATGCTCCAAGAGGTGGTCAGTCAGTATCGATGTCTTTAAAAAGGACTTCAATCTGACATGGAGGCCAGCTCTTCTGCCGCGTCGCAATCGACGAGGTCTGCCTGGGAGGGGGCCATCCAGACATTGAAGAAACTGAGGTATGGATGCTAGTGGTGGTGGTCGCTCGAATAGCTTCGGTAAATGTTTGAGCAACTAAACATAGAATTACATATTGCTAGGAAGGACAAGCGATCATATACCAAGGTAGGGGAGACACAGGCCACCTCAAGTATACCAAAATAGCAAGCACATAAGAAGAGCAGGCGGCAGGCCAAACCCAGCGACGCCATCTTGACCCCTCCCCGTCAACCAAGTCAAGATAGTCAGTGTTATTCACTTCACCTGCCAGTGGTCATAATGTTATAGCTGATCAGTGTACATTCTTTTGTTCTTTTGTGGTGTGAGCTGGCACATGTCAAACATAACATGTGTTGGTTAACTGCTGAGAGAAGCTCACACTTGTTATTAAAGTTGGCTATAACCATGTCTCAGAAGGAAAAATTCCCTATAAAAGCATTGTTTCAACAGAAATCCAATTTCAACAAATCCATATGGCAGCCCGACATTATATATCGTCAATAGGTTGCGATTAAATCTTGCATCATATGCAGCTGTTTTATTAAATTTTAAATGCTTTAAATGCTCAGAAATATGTTCCTCTCACTCTTTTGCATTTAAGACAGCTTCTTGATGGCGGTACGAATGAACGCAGCGGCCCCTCTCTCCGAGTTGTGTGCCTAAAAATGTGTTATAGTGCGTGTTCGCGTTTGTCGAGTTAATGTTTGGTGCACGTAGTTCAACGTCTGCGCTGCACCAAAGATACAGTCGCCACTGTCTTGTGGATATACACTGCTCAAAAAAATAAAGGGAACACAAGGGAAAATAAGACATTCAACTATGTAATGAACAAGGTAATTAATAGGAATATTTCATTCATTCAGATCTAGGATGTCTTATGTTGTGTTCCCTTTATTTTTTTGAGCAGTATATATATATATA